TCGTTTGTTTCAGCACGTGATGAAGTCAATTTTCATGCTTTAGTCTGGCGTTTGGTGTCGATTGTCGCGGTTCGGTATGACAGGATGGCCAAGCATCCCGTGTCGCATCTCAGCTTGTACGACACATGCATTTCTCAGACAACTTCATTCGCTCCTCAGTCAAGGGCGTTGGGCGATGGTACACCAAACAAGACACGGAAGCCCGTTTCCCGTCCAAGAGAAAGCCAACACTCCTCGCTGGCATCCAATCCATCAACTGCCCTCCCTGTTTGCCCAGCCTTCCGTTCGCTGGTACCCCCGAGCCTACCGGCTTCAATAACAGCTTCAACGGAGGTCCAAAACATCCTCCCACCCGTCCCGAACACGTCGGCAGTTCAGCCTCCGACCCCGGAACCGCGCGGCCACCGACCGCTATCGGTAGCCCAATGGACGAGGCCCCGTGCCGGCCGCCCTGCATTTCTGGGTTCTTGGGCACATTAGCAGCGATGCAGGCTGCTGGGGCTGCCACCAGCTCGACGACTTCTCAGCTGTCCCAACGAGCCCCACTGATCAACAAACCAACCCCAGCCAAGGGGCCATGTCACGTCCGGCTAGCGTTTGTCAGGCGCTGTCGTGACGTCTGTCTAGCCCTTTGCTGGCTGGTGCCCGCGAACAAGTCCCTATCAAAAAACGCCTCTGACGGACCGCTCCCGCGCGTTGGGGAGTTTCCCGCCAACGAAACGGACGAGTGGAAGCAATCGCAACCGAACAGCTATGTACGAAAACCTGCCTCAGGAGAACAGCGTCGGGCGTTGTGGACGTCGTCTGGACCGTCGATCCAGCTCGGCGTTGTGCACATATCGGACAGGTGTGACCAGCAGATCCCGGACGGGAGCGCATCCTAATTTTGCGGGCAGGAACTGCAACGCGACGCCTTGAACAGTACCGACGAACCAGGAACGGTTCTCCCAGCCTACCTGTCTACTTATTGGTGCCTTGGGTTCATCGTGGCCCGAAGAAAACGGGACGACTGCGATCCCCGAGGCCATGCGCGGCACAAGAATCGGTCTGCAAAGTGTCGATGACCCAATGGGAGGCCCTGGAAACAGGCTGCTCCAGTCGGATTACTTGCAGCTGGAGTGAAATCTGTAGTTAGTCAACACAGCCTCGGCCGCTGCGATGAGGCGGTCCAGTATCCACCGCGAACGACAGGTCCACTCCCCTGGGTGCGTGCCCAGGATGTCTGGCGATGATGTTGACACTGGAGACGAAGAAAGGGGGGTTCATTCTATCGACTGGGTTCCAATGCTGTCTGAGTGGGCAAATCGGACCGGGATTTTGGCCTCGTATGTCGAAGGATGCCGAAAGGGTCCTGCGTGGGAAGCAATCAGAAACCAAGGTGTTGCGACGGATCACATCAGTGCTCCCGTTACGCCGAGGAGAGCTCCATCGGTTCGACGTGTCACTAACGATACCTTTGGCAGCTTGAGGACCTGGGTGACGAGCCAAGCCAGAATACCCAGGTGATAGACCACGTTCGGAATCCCGCGCTGCTGCGTTAGGTAATCTTTGCCCGAGTATTGAGCAGGTCTCAACTAACAGGCCCAAGTGGCCATCCCTGCGGCAGGCACATATTTACGCTGACCCGGGTATGTCAGACATGGCCGAAAAGCTGGTTTTTTCTCCTCTCAAAAGAGGGACCAAAAGGCCCCCTGAAGGAAATAAAGCGCCAGATTGGACCAGCAAGCGGTCAGGACAAATGTCAACGGACAGTGAGGGCAACGGGAGGGCGGGCAGATGCAGACAACAATGTCTGAGGTGCTGCAGTGGAGAACGGCACGGCATAGCCACGGCTGGCGCTGTTAGTCGCACAGACGGAGGCACAGCACAGATGGTGTGGGTGGCCTCTGCACGGAGGGACAGAGGGCCGGAGACAGGCGCCCACGCAAAGGGACTGAACGGTTCTGCTGCTGATCCGCTTACCCTACGATCCCCTACCCGGCGTGCTGTGGCTTTTTTTCTGAGCTTGTCCACCCACACACAATCTCACACACCATGGGGAAGGGACGCGAAGGTGCAAGAGTTGTAGAGGGCCCTTAATAACTCCAAGGCTGTTGTTGAACGCCCGCCGAGTCACGGTGCCTAGGATGAGGCTCGATGATGACAGCGGTTGAGAGAGTAGTTTGGGGTCCGGCAGCGTTCGGTGCCGCTGCGGCATCTGAATTTCAGTCTGATGGGTTTCTCAAACGTACAGGTACGTAAGTGATGATGTCGATGTCGGCGCGGTGGTCTCTTATCAGGCGAGGTAAGGTTAAGTTCAATTGGCAGCAATGAGTGATGTCGAGGTAAGAAAAGGAGGGACAGGGTGCGGTTGACAGATCGGGGGTAATCCCTACAGGGTGAGAATACCGAGAGCAACCCAAACCAGCATAAACAAGGCAAATTCGATCATGTCTGTCCATGAAGGACTACTAAGTAAAGAAAGAATCAAGATGGAAACGACAGGGACGCTAAATCGCAGGCTCGGCGATCGGCCCCGAGAGCTCTAGTTGGCTAGGGGAGTAAGGTTGGGTCAACCGTAAAGGTACAGACGGTTTCAACGATTTGTATTTGAATTTTCGGTTTTTCGGGGACCAGGACAGAGGGATATCCTTATTTTAGAAGCAGCGGGTTGGACGGTTACAAGTTAGCGCAGCCATCAAGGGCAAAACGTCCGACCTTTGTTCATGGGTGCCGGTTATTGCTCCGTGGCTTGCGGGTTAGAAGGCTCGGATGTTTACATCATTGCCAGGGACGATGTTGTTGATGATGAAGAGGAAGAGAAAGAGGCCTCGTTCATTTTGGCTTTTCGGGGTGACTGAGAAGGGCAGCGGGAGCCCTTGTCATGCGTTTTGTTTTGGGTTGTGATGGTACGCACGAATACCTCACTTAGTACGTGGGCGGTGCTCAGCCTCCAGGTGTCTGGACCGCCAAACCGCGGGTGACATTGACACTGAGGGGCGCACCAGACCGTAGGACTGAAGAGTGAGGACTGGCCCCGGGGAAGCCAGGACCTGGGAGTCCTGGGACTCCTGGGACTGATGACTGTCAGGCTCCACGGCGTCGGATCCCCGGCTGGTTCGTGCGCAGCTTTGGGGGGGCATCCAATGATTCCAACCCACATGCACCTGCGATGCACGATACCTTACCTTGGGTTCCTGGCCTGACCCTACTTGCAGCTTTTGCATGTAATGTCTTCGTAGCCTCTGCTGTTGAGTTGTTATTGTTGCTGCTGTTGTGCAGTGAGCAGCTATGGGTGACGCGCCTGGTGGGAAGATTCAGAAGAACAAATTCCTTTGGTGTGCTTTGCTGTGCCACAACACGCACTAGCCGGCGGTCTTCCTGGAGAGAGACTGGACCTGAATGGACTGTTGGACTGAGGTCTAGCTCACCACGTCTCCCCTACCAGAATGGCAACTTAGTTGTTGGAGTCAAGGGGCCACGCCGCGGAGTCGCCTCGGCCAAGGTTCCTCCCATCTTCAGCGTAATTCGTCACTTTCGTCACACTTGGAGCTGGGCTGTGGGACAGCGACTCTATCCTTTGGTACACATCTTGGCCTTCTCTTACCTGCATTACGCCTGCATCTGCACACACACACACACACACCAGGTACTAACACTATCTTTCCTTACCACTACAGTACTACTAACTAGTACTGCCGGTACGGCCAGGTGGTGGTGGTGCCTTGCCTTGTCTCGCCTTGCCTAACGTTTTTTTTTATTCCCCTTCGGGGTCCAGTCCAGCTCAGGCGAAGCAAAGCAAACCCTTATTACCAGACGGTCTTCCTGCATTTTGTTTTCACGTTGACACTACCACACACATTTGTCCACTTACGTTTGGACAACTGCAACATTCATTCCCAATCCACCTTACACAGCAAGACCAACAGAAAAGAAAAAAAACAAGACGGACAAGCCCCCCGTCCACCAAACCCAGCAACTCCCACCCGGGTCAATTGGCAATCGCGCGTGCAAGGGTCCCAACCGCACCCCCGGCTCTCCCCCTTCCCACTCGCTGCCTGCAACCTGCTCCAGTCCAGCTCCGTCTCCAGCTTCCAGCTCCAGTTCCTCCTCCACTGTTCCGCTCCATTGCGTCGCTGCTCCAGCTGCGGTACCTGACGCCGCGCCTCGCCTCAGTCACCGTCAATCGATCCAGTCCTGTGCTGTCTGGTCCAGTCCACCCGCGCCTGCTGCTGCCAGTTCTTTCTTCAACGCGCCATTACCCCCCGAGGAATTTCTTCAGCTCGTATTCCCTCCCGTCATCCTTCTGCTCAATACCTTACCGACAGTCACTCTGGTCGAAACTGCCTTGCCTTACCTACCACGGCCACCTCCTCCGCGCCTCTCTCATCTCACCCTCCCGTCCTCCGAGAAAGACGAGAAGGAGACAAAACATAAAAAATAACAACACAAGGGCGCCCTCTTCCGTCTCTCTCTTCTCCTTCTTTCTTCCGCCTTCGCCTGTCCTCAATCTCTCGCCGTTTCTGCCGCCCTCACCATCCATCAGCTCTAGCCCGCTGCCCCGATAGCTCCGTTCTCCGGCTGCTCGTCGCCCTTTCTTTTTCGCCCATCCCACCCCCGAAGAAGAAAAACACTCCCACACCCACCCACCTCAAATCCAAACATTTGCCTACATATCCGCCGCAGCTCCTGTCGCCTCCACCACCAAACCCGCCGCTCCTGCCGCTGCCCCCGATACGACTCTGCCCGCCTGCCGACCGACCTCGACCTACCGCATACGAACCCACCGATCCCAGCTGCCACTTGCGAACCGTCGACTGACATCCAGACCTTTTTTTTTCTTCACTCTAATCCTTTCCTTGGTTTTCAACTTTTGATCGTCTCGCCATTCCGTTTCTTCTCTTTACATCCGGACATTAATACGCCCTCGTCGCGATCACAACAATCTCCACGCCCTCAATTGACTTCGAGTCGAGTCGCCGACGCCAAAACCCCCTTCTGCCCAGTTCACCTCCGAAACCATGGCGGCGGCAAACCCCCCAAACGTCATCCGAAGGTACCTTGATTCAAGTCCCGTCGATCCCCCTCCCATCCACCTTCCCCGACCGAAACCCCAGATTCTTCGTGCCTTGCTCCCAGCAGGCAACCGCGCTCAAATTTGACGGCCTCTCTACGGTGTCTCGATTTGCTGACGATATTTCCCAGGAAACTTGTCATTATTGGTGACGGTGCTTGTGGCAAGACTAGTTTGCTAAGCGTCTTCACCCTCGGCTACTTTCCCACAGTAAGTTTTTCCCCTCCTCGCCCGTGGCATGATCATCGAGGTTGAATTTCGCTCACAAGTCTTGCGCAGCATTACGTTAGTTCCGAACGCCCTTGTGGTCTTCCGAGAAGCACCCCCTAACGAGCTCCCAGATCCCTACTGTTTTCGAGAACTACGTCACAGATTGCAGAGTAGACGGCAAGTCGGTGCAGCTGGCACTATGGGATACCGCAGGACAGGAGGACTACGAGAGGCTTCGACCGTTGGCATACAGCAAGGCGCATGTCATCCTGATAGGTTTCTCAGTTGATACTCCCGACTCCCTCGACAACGTCAGGCATAAGGTTCGTACTGAAGAGGCGCAACTATCGTTGGACATTCCTAACAGACCGTGTGACAGTGGGTAGAAGAGGTGACGCGACTCTGCCCGGGTGTTCCCATTATTCTCGTCGGATTGAAGAAAGACCTGCGCGAAGACCCCGTGGCCATCGAGGAGATGCGAAAGAAGTCCCTGCGCTTCGTCACTTCGCAGGAGGGTGACACAGCCGCCAAGGAGATTGGTGCCAGGAAGTACCTCGAGTGCTCCAGTTTGAGCGGCGAGGGTGTCGACGACGTGTTCGAGGCTGCTACACGCGCGGCCCTGCTCACGTTCGAGAAGGGCGAGGGTGGCGGCTGCTGTGTGATCCTCTGAGCGACGGCGCAGTCTCTGGTGCGATTACCGACGTCGAGTGCGGACAAGGTCAATCGAATACAGGCACTTGATAAACACCTCCGGCGGAATCATGTTGTCTCTCGGAAACCCCACGCAACCGCGCAAACAGTCCGAATGTGAAGACGTCGAACCGAATCCAGGGGCACCGGCTACCTTCAACGACCACGCGAATTTCACGGGGGTCAGCCAGCAACGAGACGATGTTCGATTTGACCCCAGGACTTGCTCGGCCACATTTACAACTTTTGATACGAGTCAACTTTTAATGCTCTCTTTATTCTTTCCTCAGCGGTCTCGAAACAAGCGGAAACAGCGCGACGTTCCGGTGGAGAAGTCCATGCAATTGAAGGGGAACGTGCTATATTTTTGTGTATTAATAGGACAGCACAGCATAGAACAAAAGTTCACAGCTCGGACACGGGTGTAGGCGTTTGGAGGATTATGTTTCTCTTCCCCAGGGGAAGGATGGCAGCCGCTTCACGCAAAATGAAAATGAAATTTCCCGCATCTTTCCGATCTAATGTTTGTGGTATTTTGGAATGTACACGGCCATGTTGCCGCATGCTAACGACATAATGACACAGAAAGCGTCGTGGTGGTACACGGAGACGAGCGCATCCATCACCTCCGCTCCTTCCCCTTATCTCACATTGCTATGCCCCTTTTTTCATCTTCGCATAACCTTCAAGTCCCAATCTCTAACCGACTATCCCCCTTCGTCTACCTCTTCCAATCATGGTTCCACGCGACCCTAGCCGGCGTCTCGGTCTGGTACCTCGCATACTCGATCGGCACTGCCCCGGCCCCGTAGACGCCCTTCTTCTCCTGGGAGATGCGGTACAGCCAACCCTCGTCCCTCGTTCCCGGGCCGGCGGTGTGGCGCAGCTCCTCGGCGGCGTTATACATGCCCTGGTGCATGCGGTAGAGCTCGCGCTCGCGGGCCTCGCGCTGCTGGCGCTGGAGGAGGAGCCAGGCGCGGTGGATGGTCCAGTGGCGGAGGTGGCGATTACGGGCCATGCGCAGGGGAGGGGGCGCGCGGGCGAAGAGGTGCTGTTTGAGGTTGAGGATCTTTCTGGTGTATTCGGGCGTCGCGGCGGAGACGCTGGCCCCGCGGCGGGCGGGGGCCGGGGTTGTTGTGAAGGCGCGGACGGCTGTTGTGAAGGGTGTTGTGAGGGTGGTAGTTGGGCGGAAGAGGCCCCGGAGGGAGAAGGGGGTCGACATTATTGCTGGCGGGAGCGGAGGACGCGGGTGGTGGGAGGGGGTTGTTTGCGGGCCCGTGGTCGTCGGGTACCGGGAGGGATGTAGGCGGATGTGTCGTGTGAGGGCTTTATCGGCGAGGTTGGCAGGCTGCCGTCGTCGGTTTTGACCGTGATGGACAGTCCTTGGTCGTCGTCGTCTTCGTCGTCCGACTCCGGCTTGGGGGGGTCGGCGGGCCGGAGGAGCTGCGCGCGGAGGCGGTCGGCGACGGCGCGGAGGTCGGGGGTGAGCGCGACGGGGGCGACGTCGACGCGGTTGTGGAGGGTGTCTGGGACGAAGAGGGCGCGGTCGTCGACGTAGGCGCCGGTGTACTTTTGGGCGTAGTATTCGTGGATGGTCTGTGGAGGTGGTGGTGGTTAGCTGAGTTGCTTGGGAAATTTTGAGATGGAAGGCGGGGGAAGTGTTGTTCCGAGGGTGCATGGCGGCGGGTTGGGGTAAGTGGAGCTTTGGGGAGGGCAGGGGTCCAGCTTGAGCTTTGACTACATCACATTGCCGCGTGTAAGTGAGGACAAGAGGAAAAGGGTTACTTACTTTTCCTAGGAGGACATCTGCATGGTACACCAACACATCATTGATGATACCGCCTTCGAATATGTTGTGTAACACCTCTTTGCCCTCGTCGGCATGGTAGGTCTTCGCGATCACATTCAGCCAAACCTCGGGGTGCTGCCCCGTAGGCCGATCCCATGTCACCACGTCCGCCAGCGCGGCTAGCACCGCCCACTCCTCGTCCGCCAACTCTTCACGCTTCGTCGAAAGGATGAGCGACGCGAGTTCCTTGACGGCGGATGATGTACGCAAAGCGTGGGAGTACGCCGTCCGCTGGCCCATTTCGAACCGCGCGATCCAGCGGGCGTGGACCTCCCTAACGGAAACGCCGTCGTCCAAATCCGCGGTGAGAAGCGTTGCGTACTCCGGTGCCGTGAAGCCGGATGGGTTGTTTGGATCGAAGGCAAGCAGCGAGATGACCTGCGAGGCCACCTTTCCCGCAAGGTGCCGCATGCGCGCGATGCGCACGGCGGGCGGGTGCGGCACGCGGCCCTTGTACGCAAAGTTGCGCCGGTCGTGGGGCTCGAGGCTCCTGTGCCGCCGGTACGCGAGGATGGGGCTGCCGGGCGGGAGGCCGAGGAAGTAGCGCGTGTTGGCGAGGGCGCCGACGACGGGGAGCGTGCGGTCGGCGGCGGCGGGGATGGGGATGCGCTTACAGGGGACGCTCCAGTTCTGCGCGGCGAGGGTGAGGATGGCCTCCTCGCGGCGGGGGACGGTCCACTCGCGGTTTACGGAGATGGCAAAGGCTGCTTTTTGGATGAGGAGCTCGTCGGGGGTGTAGACGGGTTCTACCTCGTGGATATGGGCGGCGCGGATGGCGTGCCAGAGGGTGGTGATGTTGTCTTCCTCGGCGAGGCGGGTTTCGGCGAGGTGCGCGGAGGTGTGGGCGTTGAAGATGGCCGGCCGGAGGGGATGGGACCAGATTGTGGTGAGGTTGTGGTGGGAGAGGAACTTGGAGAATGCGCGGTTGAGAGAGGGGTTGGCGGGGGGGAAGCCGTCGGGTCCTGGGAGGCCGAGGGAGCACATCTCGACGGTTGGGTCCTTGATGGAGAGTATCAGGGGTATGATGGAATGCTATGTCTATCAGAGTGGTTTTACCAACTGAGAATGACGACAGGAAAGGAGAAAGGATTCTTGGGGGGGTTTTCTCCTGACAGGAGAGATATAACACGGAACCTGCGTGACCTTTCTGAGAGAAAGAGACATAGATGGCCAGAGCCCGTTGCTGTGTTGGTAGTTATTTCGGTGACGGCATTTTGAGTTTCGAAAAGCGATGGGCCGAGCAGGTTTCCCATCACTTGCACGATGCATATTTTGGCACCTTTACGGGGTGGATGGGTAGGGCAGTGAATCCCTCCATCTGTCATGTCAAGCTGGCTGTCTGCGCAGTGAATCGCACTCATTATGGGACGACTAAAGGTTGAAGATGTGTATGGATTTGGGATACCTGGATAATAGACGTGGGCCGCATATGTGCTCTCTTCGAAGTATTTCCCCTCGTATGCACCTTCACAAAGTTGCATAATATCGCTCCAGTTGGCACGTATGATACACCCAGAGAGTTGAACGACATACAAATCGACTTGCCATGGCTCTCTTTTCCGACGTGACACTCTAGACCAAAGTAAAGTTATAATCTAAAGATTCTCAAATACACGGTTTTCTCATGAAATATACAAAAACTTGCTAGGCCCCCAAGCACCGACTACATCAAGAATAATGGTCAAAGTTTTCTCGAGTTAGCCATTCTAACATACTCTCTGTCTTCTGAAAAGCTAAAAAGACCGAAATGTGAGTTCAAAAGAGCTCAGGATTAGTCTGCGCCCTCTTGTGCTTTTCATTCGTCAGCCTCTAGTTCATTTCGACCATCTACGCCCGCGGCCAATCTGGCGTGGTTTGAAAGTTCCCGAATTTGATAGCCACTAGGACTCAGGTGTCCGAAGAAAACATGCAAAGAAAAGTAGTAGAAGGACGATGAGAATGGCATAAAGAGCAGGAGCGGCAGGTGGTTCTCGCACGTCTTCCACCCGGATACTAAGTTCGCCGAGCATTCGTTGTCAAGTCGAACAGGACAACCACATTTATATGTCTTGGAACATATGCGGTGCAGAGCAATCATGAACTGGCCATATGGAACCTGATGGTCTGAAACGACTCAGGAAGAGTTTCATCTCTTTCGATTTACCCCAACTGGCAACCATACGACCGCTGGCATCGATGGGCTGCAGGCCAGACTTAAAGTCTGTTTGTATTCCATTGGACTGATGGTGATATGGACTACCCGAGACCGGCAGAAAGCCCTAATTTAATCTTGTTTCCTCTAATCTGAAAGCTTTCCCGCCAGGTAAAAGTGTTTATATGTGGTGTAGTAGTTGGATAGGTATCACCTAGTACATGATGGATTGCAAGCCACGCGAAATGGATAGGATCTATCGGCAAAAATCCAAGACTTTTATGCTAATTGTAGAGACATACTTGCACCATGGCCAGTTTGTGAGGGAAGTTTCTTCGGTATGTTTTTACCCACGCAATTGTAATGTTGCCTTGTTTCTAAAATTGAGGGATGGCCTCGCTGCACATCTGCAGCGCTCAGTAGATGCAGCTGACGCACATATCAGTTCACCCAATAAACAAAAGATTCAAGTGTGCCAAGAACTTCGCACTCACAGATCATTCCACTGCATCACGTAGAAATTCAGAAACCCGCCGCGACAAGGGTGCCCATTCGCCGATCTCTGCTTACATCGTTTCATCACCACCCTTGCTTTTTTTTTTCTCGCTTCTGGCCTTGCTAAATCAATCTTACGTCCAATTAAACTACCAAGCCGCCAAAAAGCTGCGGGGTTGGTCGGGTGGTACTGGGTCAGAATTCGGGTGACACGCTGCAGCCTGATTTGACGATCCCCACCCCAGATATGTATATATGTAAGCCCATCTCCGTTATGAGCCTGATTCGACCGCCATGGACGGTTGTGGCGCTACCATGGACCCCCAAAGAGATGCGACGTATCACCTTATCTCCTACCCGGACCCGTCCAGGAGGGTGTCTTCCAGGAATGAAGCGGGAGACTCTGGCGTACCGAGAGAGTTTAGGCGTAAACCCTTGGATCGCAGCTCGACGGTCCACGATTCAAGCTCCGACTACCTGCTCTTTTCCATAGCTGATCCGCCAGCGGCGTACGATACTTCCAATGAAGCGGTTCAGAAAAGTCCTGGTAACAACAAATCGGCTGCCAGCGGAAACGTCAGGGAGACCACGGATCTCCCGGAGAGTAGGCATGTCCAGGACTCGTCGCTGATCAACTGGAACGGGCTGCCGTGGTACCGGTTCCTCGGCGATTTTCTGAGCATGCTTCTTGCAATATGCTTCATCGGTTGGTTCTCTCTCTTGAGTCTACGTGAAACGGGGAACTGACAGGATATACAACATTAGCCCTCGGTATCTGCGTCGTCCGTCTTCGAGGAGAAGAAGAGTCGGGATGGTCGAGACAAGTGGTCGCAGCGACGGAGCTGGCACCATCACTATGGCCCGTCATCTTCTCCGGTGTCGTAGGCAACGCTCTCAAAGCCTACGCAAACTGGCGCGTTGAGAAAGGCACCTCACTACTAGTAAGTCACATCTCGTCTGCATCCGTCACCCAAAGACACGCAGCACACGACAAAACCTCACACTCACAACAACCAAGTCTCTGGAGCAGATCCTCGGCTCGCTCACAATGGCAAACACAATCCTCTCCGTCTACACCCTCTCCATCTTCAACCTCTGGACCGTCTCGCTCGTCCTCGTCTGGGCCTTCAACCCCCTCGGCTCCCAGGCCTCCTTCCGCAGCCTGCACCTGCAGCCGCAGTCGGCCACCGCAACCGCAACCCTCGGCTACCGCAACTACTCCGTCGAGACGCTCGGCGTCGGCGCGCTCATGGGCGCCTCGGGCTGGTCGTGGATCAGCCCGGCGTCCAAGATCGCGTACTCGAGCGTGCTGGCGTCCACGACGTCGCAGACGCAGTACTGCAACGGCACGTGCGGCGGCAACTTTACGGACCTCATCGCCCGGATGGGCGGGACGCGCGCGGCGGCGGAGCAGGTCGCGATGGACCCGTGGGGCAACCCCCGGATCCCGAGCCTGAAGCACGCGCCCGGGTACGACGCGGCGCGGCCGGAGGAGTGGCTCACGGTCCCGTGGAGGGAGAGCGTGCAGGAGTACAGCAGCCTGATTGGGAATCGGTACCATGGGCTGCGGCCGGAGTTTGTGGGGAACGTGACGTTTACGATCGAGGCTAGCTATATGGAGGTTTACGACGTAAGAAGTCTTGCAGCGGCAGTCCGTTCAATTTGGAGTACTGATGGATGCTTGACATAGTGCGCTGAGTGGTTGTGTCAGGATGATTTGCACAACAACACCGAGGTCAGTTCAAGCGGTCGAACGTCTTACAACAAGACCCGGGTTCCCGTGTTTTGGTCTCCAGACGGAACTGACATTTCTTCTCAGGCCATGGTTGCGTGGTTCGCAGCCAACTACAAGTCCTTCGCCACCAGATACAACGCCAGCCTAGACGAGCCGCCGTACAACAACGCCTCGTTCGACTTCTTCGACAGCAACCGGCGGGAGGGAAGCTACAAGACGTCCTACGACTACTCCTTCTCCATGGACTACAACACGACCTACGGCGCCTCCGGCCCCGACTCCGCCAACTCGACAATCTTCCTCGGGACCCTGGGCGGCCTCGAGTGCGGGCAGTGCATGACATCCTGCCCCGTCCGGACCGTCTACATCGAAGCCGAAATCGCGTGCGAGTCGCGCGGCATCGCGGGCAAGTCCCAATGCGCAGCCACACGCATCCGCCAGATGCCGTCCCCGCCACGCCCGCCCGGCGTCACCGCCTTCACGAACCGTCTAATCGGGACGACGGTCCCCTTCTACGCGGCGCAGAAGTTCCCCAAGATGGGCAAGGACACCGACACGCGCTTCACGACCTTCTCCGAGGAGTTCGTCGAGAACCCCACGCGCGCCTTCAACCACGAGCTGAGCAAGAAGTACGTCGAGTGGTGCAAGCTCCCGATGGCCGTCTTCGCGGACCGGCTGGGGCTGCTCTTCAACACGTTCCTCGACGCGACGGTCGACCCGATGGCCGTGCTGGGCGCCGCCTCCGTCGTGGACGAGTCCGTCCTGCTCAACACCACGGCCGCCATGACCTCGCCGCTGCCGGCCGTGTACGTCATCGACGAGGCGTGGGTCGCAATCTACTTTGTGTCCACGCTCATCATGCTGCTGGCGGCGATAGGGGGCGTCGTGATACGGTACTACACCATTGCGCCGCAGGTTCTGGGGTATGTCGGGAGCTTGGTCAGGGACTCGCCCTACTTCGCCGACATGGCGCCGCGATGGAAGAGCACCGAGAGCGGCGAGGAGATTTCGAGGCGTCTCGGAGACGTGAAGGTGGGCGTATTTGATGTAGAGCCCGACAAAGATGTCGGGAGGATTGCGTTTGCACCTGTCGAGATGGGGCACCGTGTGCGTCGGAAAAGATGGTACGAGTAACCATCGAATTGCATACGTAATTTTCCTGCATCAATACTCGTGAAGCTATTCCGGCGATGAGCTCCTGAACTCAGCCCATCCGCCGGCGCCGTTCTGAGAGCGGGGCCGGTCGGGGGATGCGGGTCCCCGGATCTTTTAAACCGATGAAAATGGTGTCAATATTCGTCGAAGTACATATGCGCCAAACCTTTTAGCATTCAGCTCATAACCGTGAATATGTACAATCCCTTGAGCAGGCTAGGCTCATACCTGTGACCCTTGAGATGCCCGAAAAGTCATGACAGCCACCCCATGTATGTCCCCAGATACCCTCCAACATGCCATAACATCAATGCCGCGAAATGCACTTTTCATAATATTGGATGATTCAAGATGAAGTTTTTGAAATGTTTTCATTTGTTGGACGAACTTGCTGCACTTGTTCCAGAAAACCCGTCTTTTTTCATTTTCGTCGCCCCATTTTGAAGATACCCTGGTCCCGATGGATTTTGGAAGAAAAAAGGTTGGCCCTCCATGATTTTTTGGTGTGGAAAAAAAGAGACCCAACAAAGCTGGTGGTATAAGATGAGAGAGCAATATGCATGGACGCCTCCGATGGTGCTTGTGAAAAATTAAATGAACAAGAAAGGTGTTTGCGTTGACGCGGATTTAGCCGTGCAGACCACACGTTCTCTCGCGCATCAGCTCGCGACGCTTCTTGTCCTTGGCTGTGAGTGGGTTAGCTTCTGTTTCTCAAAATACGAGCGACGGGGATACTGACCTCCATCCCATGTCAGGAACTCGTGGAGACCTGAACCGGCAGGGACCATGGGCAGGACGGGCACCTTCTTGTCGGTGACGACCTCAAGGAGAGCGGGGCCGTCGGTGTTGATGAGCCACTTGAGGGCATCGACGACCTCATCGGGCTTGATGACTCTGCGGTGCTGGACGCCCATAGCGTCGGCCAGCTTCATGAAGTCGGGGTTCTTCTGGTGAGTGTGGGCGTAGCGGTCCTCGTAGAAGAGGTTCTGCCATTGGGTAACCATGCCCTGCTCCTCGTTGTTCAGGACAATGACCTTGACGCCGATGTTGAACTGAGCAGCGGTGGAGAGCTCGGTGAGGGTCATGTTGAAAGAAGCATCGCCGTCAATGTCGACAACGAGGGCATCAGGACGGGCAACCTTGGCGCCGATGGCGGCGGGAAGACCGTAGCCCATGGTACCCAGGCCACCGGAAGTAACCATGGTTCTGGGGTGCCTCCAGCGGAAGTGCTGGGCAGTCCACATCTGGTGCTGGCCGACACCGGTGGCAATGATGGTGGTCTCCTTGCGGTCGGCGGTGAGGTTGCTGAGCTCCTCAATGAGGGTCTGGGGCTTGATCATGCCGGAACGCTCAGCTCTCTCGTAGTCAGACAGGGGCCACTTCTTCTTCCACGCGCGGATCTTGTCGAACCACTCCTTGCGGTCCTCCATTGATCTCGTCTCAAGGAGAGGAATGAGAGTCTTGAGGTTGGAGGCGACATCACCCTCAACGGCCTCAGTAGCCTGGACGACCTTGTTGATGTTCTTGGGCATGATCTCGAAGTGAACAATACCGCCACGGCCCTCAGCGTGAGCAGCCTTGGCGCCAGGAGCGAACTTGGCAATGTTGAGAGTAACACGGTCGTCGAAACGGGCACCAAGAGCGAGGATAAGGTCGGCCTCCTGCATGGCGGAGTTGGCGTAGGCAGAGCCGTGCATACCAAGCATGTGCAGGGACTTCTCATCCAGCTCGTCGAAAGAGCCGAGACCGTGCAGGGTGGTGGTGACGGGGATGGAAACCTTCTCGGCAAGCTCCTTAAGAATCTGGACACCACCCTCGGATTGGGAGATACCCTGGCCGGCGTAGATGATGGGCTTCTTGGCAACGTTGACGAGGTCGGCAACGCGCTGGATAGACTGCTTGAGCTGCTTGCTCAGCAGGGCCATGGCGGCTCTGCTGGCCTGGCTGGGCAGAGAGGGAAGGGCGGTCTCGGTGGGGATGGCTTTCCTCAGGACGGAAGCAGTGACGTCCTTGGGAAGGTCGACGAGGACGGGGCCAGGGCGTCCGCTGGTGGCGATCTCGAAAGCCTCGTTAATGCGGCGGGGGAGCTCAGCGACGTTCTTTACCATGACGTTCCACTTGGTGCAGGCGCGGGAGATACCGACGACGTCGGCCTCCTGGAAGGCATCACTGCCAATGGCGGAGGTAACGACCTGGCCGCAGAAGACAACCATGGGGGTACCGTCGGAGAGGGCGTCCTGCATGGGGGTGATGACGTTGGTCGCGCCGGGGCCGGAGGTGACGAGGACGACACCAGGCTTGCCAGAGGCACGGGCGTAGCCCTCAGCCATGTGGCCAGCGCCCTGCTCGTGCTTGGGGAGGATGAAGTCGAAGTATTTTGAGTTGTAGATGGCGTCGAAGACGGGCAGAATAGCGCCTCCGGGGTATCCAACTGTGACTCACGGTCAGCCATGTGCTTCCTCTTATACGACTACCACGACTTGAGGATAGAGCAATTGGGTTACGAACAGATGTGCTTGACGTCGTGTCTCAACATCATCTCGTGGAAGATCTCTCCACCAGTCTTGCCAATGAACCTGTCCAGCATTGTAAGCTTCCATGTGCGTATAAGTCGGCGGGTGCTGGCGGCGGGATCACGTACGACTCGTCCATCTCAGGACCGCGGGGGTTGACGAGGGGCTGGACATGGCTGCGGTCCTTCTCGGCGTTGAAGGCGGGTGCTGGGGCTTCGCGAACCTCACTGCGATTGAAGTGTTGTGTTAGCCTCAAGTTTTCCCGTGAGTCACCTCGAGCAGTCTACTTCGCCTCCACGATAGAGGGGCAGCGGCGGGCGACAATGGCACTTACGGGGCGGGGGAGGAAGCAGAAGTAGCCTTATTCCTCACACCAGAGGGAAGCTTCGCAGCCTGAAGGGCAGCAATGGCGGGAGAGGCAGTGGCAGCGCGGGGAGCGCTCCTGGTGTTGACGGCCCTGAGGGCGCGGGTGGCGTGGCGGCTTCGGAGCATCATGATGGGCAGAGTGGAGAGGAGGGACGGCCGGGACAGGAAAGGAAGGAAGAATTGAAAGGAAAGAGACTCGGCTTGAGGCCTTGTCGATACGAGAAGGGGTAGGAGAGCGCGGCTCGTCGAATTGGACGATCGCAGGGGGGAAGAGGTTTGTTGGAGGAAGAGAGGTTGCAGTGCAGAGATCGCGGAGCAATGGAAATTTTGGCAGATCTCGAAGTCTAATGGTTCGGGCAGGTTTGTGAGAGAAGAACGAGAGGTTCGACTCATGCGGTACCGGGCCGGGGACGCTGGCCAGACACTGATAGGTGCTAGCCACCTTAGACTGGACTAGACACACGCGCACAGCACACAGAGAGAGAACTCGCAGAGACCTTCCCGCTTGGAGGGAATGACTGGACCCTCAAGAGCACTGAGTCCACTGGACGGCTGCTGTTTCGGAGGCAGGGAAAAAAAACCAAAAAATTTATCGGCCATCAGTGTGTGGGGTAGAAGCCTCCTCACTGGCCAGACGGCAGAGAGGGTGGGGCACTTGAGCGCAAGCGTTGCTCACTGGGGGGAGGCACGGGCCCTTCGTCCAATCTGGGGTGGCGATATCGGCCATGATTCCTGCCTTTTCCCTCTCTTTTGCTGACCTTCACATTCAAAGGGCGCTGCAGGGCGCTGAGAAACTGCTCCAGCCATAGCCGTTAGCGTCCCTCATTCCTCCTAACAGTCCCGAGGCGTCTTGCGGCTTGCCTCCTCCGCTGCGAGTCTACTGCGACTGGCATGCTGGAAAGTGGGAGGAGCAAACACACCTGCGACCGTTTATTTTCCTCCAACCCTTGCCTTGTTTCCTTTGGCACCGTGAGAAAACAAGCAAGCCGGGACGGGAGGAGGGTGACACGGCTTGACACAGGAACCTCCACAAAAACTGCCCTATCTTTCCCTATCGGTTCGTTCTCGTCATCCCGTCTACGACACTTGTCGCGCCACGACTGCACCATTGTCGTTTCTTCTTCCCTCTCTCCACGTTCGTCCAGTCTGGGCATTTCGGGATGCGGGTTGAGCCTTGGGTAAAACGCTCCAGCCACCGACATATCGCATGGCCGTGGCGTGACGATGCTACACCAATAGCCACGGTTGATTGAGGGGTTGAACGTCTTCAATCGAGTACGCCTCGACACGTGAATCCTGCGTGAAATTGGGTAGCGCAGCCCACGAGGAGATATTGAATGTTCTTTGGATATGCATAGCCGGTCAATTCCCGGTGACCGGACCCCTACTCCGATATGATCCGGCCCTAGGCCATCCCTGATCAGACGGACGGCTGCACAGGGAAGCCATCTCAACTCGAGATTACTCAATTGACGACGCATAAGGTGAACGCTGGTTGAAGTCATTATAAAAAGCGTTAAATATTGGTTTTTAGTCTCTCTACCATTCCATTACCCATGACATATGATGCAGCCCTTGAACACCGGAACCCGAATCGCACACTGAGGTATCTTGACCATGCTTACACCAATTTCCGCCAATACAATAATCATGTATGACCAAATGCTTTCGTCTTACCATGCCGTCCGCCACCTCACAGGCACCTTCTTACATGTGGTTGCGGTTGTCAAAGGGGTTGTGGCCGTTGTTGGCGTGGCCATTGTTGAGGTCGTTGCTGTGGTCGTCGTTGTACGGCTGCTGGTTGCCGTCGTTGGCCATGAGAGGCTGCTCAACGGCAATCGTGGGCTTCTTGGCCAGCTTCGCCTCCTTAGCAATGGCCGCCGCCTCGGCCTTAGCGAGGATGCGCTTCCTGTTCTTGCGGTCGCGGCAGCAGAGGAAGGTGATGAGCGCGATGGCGCCAGTGCCGGCAATCGCGAAGAAGAGAGCGACGGCAATACCAGCACCGCTGAGGGTGTTGTCAATCACCAAGCAAGAAGGGTTGCCGGAAGAATCGTCCTGGCAAAGCATGCCCGCGGCGCAGGTCTCGAACGCGACGGTCGTGGAGTAGCAACCGCTGGTGATGGTCTTGCCAGAAGCGGTGCCGGTGGATTGGACGGGGCAAGCAGTCGTCGACTTGGTCGTCGTGGTAGAGCAGACCTTGGTCGTCGCGGTCGTTCCGGTGCCTGTGGTCCCAGTGCCGGTTGAAGCGGCGGTGGTTCCAGTAGCAGTGGTGCCAGTACCGGTAGTAGAGGCCGCCGTGGTAGTGGTTGCCGCACTGGCCGTTGTGGCAGCGGTGGCAGCTGTCGTTGTCGTCTCCGCGGCTGTGGTATCTGTGGTCGCACGAGCCTGGACGACGCCGAAGTGGCGGATCTTCAGCTCTTGGGCAATGTTGCCATACTCGTCACATCTGTCCAGGGCCCATTGAGCCTCCACCATCGACTCGGTGAAGTCGCAGCCGGAGTTGATCCAGCAGGTCTCGAGATCGGCCTGTGTAACGTCGTCGGGAATCATAAACAGGCAGGCTGCAACGGAGCCCGCCATACCGCAGCCACTCAGCCGGGAAAGTTCGACATTTCGCGATCGGAGGCAGTGCAACCTCGCGGGAGTGACGGCCGAGGCGGTAGTTGCGAGAAGCGCCAGGAGCGCCGCGGCGGATTGGTAGGAGCGCATTTTATCCGGTTTTGTGGGGAGCTGTCCCAACTGCCGGAGCGGAGATCGGTCGGTAGGGTGGGTAAAGGTAGGGTTGTAGCTCGGAGTGTATGCGGAAGTGCCGGCCCAGGAGTTTGGGTGAGGAGCAGCTTCTGCAACGAGTTACTGTTGGGACGATGGCAGCTTCCTGATTGGGAAGCTTAGATCGGTTCTCTTGAGAGAATTCGAGAAGATGTCGTCGGTGAACTTTGCTTGGAGGGGGGTTCACGAAGGGCTGAAGAAGAGACTGAAGACTGCTTATTAGACGTCCCAGCAGAATCGGTCAGGTGAGGGTCGATGGAGGGGTCGGATTGGGAACACCGCGTCGAGGTTAGTAAACAGAAAGGGGAGAGAAGCAGGAAGGATCGAGCCGGGTGAGATGGGAATGAGGGTCAAATAAAAAAGAAGGCGAGAGGGATGTGAAGGACGCCGGCTGGCGCCTGGGGCTGGGCTGGACCAACTGGATCCTTTTTTTGGCGTGTTGCCATTCTCGCCGGCCTGGCATTGGATTTGTCTCTCCCCAGTCCTCCCCATCTTCCAGAGCAAGGCCCTGCGAGCGAGTGAGTGTGAGCTGAGATGCCAACGCCAGTGCCACGAGCATCTGCACCTCAGCGCGCGGGCCCTCACAACCTCGTTCGGGTAAGGCGTCTGATGGAGCGGGCATGGGAAGGTCTCCGCTTAGGCTCACTTTTGTGGCTTACCTGCAGTAGACCCAGACGATGGACAAGTACTCTCTGGTAAGGCTGGAGCCCGTTTTGCAGCGGTACCGTAGGCTATTCCCGTACCGTCTAGGGGACGGCATTGAGGCGAGGTACTTGGGCATATTGGGGGTACGCAGCATGGGCTCCGGAGTACGTGTCTTGGTGATGGCGCTGCTCTTTTGCTGCTGCTGCGGCACCGCCCTTCCCTACCAGGAAGTCCTCTGCTTGGGAGCCAGCGAATGAGAGGGTGCGGCGTGGTGGCTGACGGCGTCCGCCTCCATATTTAGGCCATGCCCTCATCTCATCTGGAGGGGTTCGCCCCATGCTGCTTACGTTGTTCCTGGACGGGACGGCCATCACCGGCCGGCTGGGTGGGTGAACGGGTTCATCTCTGGAGCCTGCCCACTTGGTGTTGGGTTGTTGACGTTCTGCTGGCGTGATGGTCTTCTGTCATTGCCATCTTGACTCGGTCACGAAAGGATGCCTTTGTGTCTCGCCAACCTCAGTGTTTCTCGTTTCCCGGCTTTGCTGGCTCAGGTTGCCTGTTGCTAAAAGCAGCTTTTGCTGTTCCCGTCTCATAGCTTATCCTGAACGGTGTAAGCGCAAAAGGCACTGAGTAAACTCTAACAATGCCCCACGAACAGGGGACCACCCTTCCGCCGACGTTCGGATTTTTGGCCAATGGCAGGCACAGTTCGGACGACGTTTCGCCAGTCTTTGCAGCGTTTTCTGACAGTGTCTTAGAGCTCCGCAGGCTGCAACATTCCTGTTGGACGGAACGAGGACGGAATGAGGGGGCGGGCATCGGTTGAGAAAAACACAGAAAGAAAAGGGGCCCCTCCGCTTGCTCGGATAGGTACGAAGTAGCGTCGTGGGCTGTGGTGATGGGGCTTCTGATATCCCTGTTGCGGCTTGAAAAAGTGCTTGAAGGTGCTGGGCTGCGTTGGTTCGTGGCTGAGACCCTGGAACGTGAGCCAGCCTCCCCCAGTCACCAATCCCCGTCACGATTCGGCGGACGCCATGCAGGAGCTGAAGTCCCTTTTCTCTCAGCGACAACAGCCGCCGTGGTTGGCTTGGCTTAGGGGAGAAAGACCCTGCATGGCGGATAATCTGAAAGAAGGCGGTAATATTGACCGCCGATTGCCAGACCTGCGCATTTTGAGAATCAAGCTCAAAGAGAAATATGGTTGTGGTTTCTCGATTGTTCGCGATGTCCCGTGTGTTGCCGTCCCAAGCAGCCAAATGACAGGGAACATGGAGGTGCCGGGGAACAGGAGCAGAACGTTGACGCGGTCAGACCGGAAGCCTCTTTGGCAATGGGGGCCACAGGGCATCCACCTGAGACGGAGCAGTCTTTCGGATTGCAGCGTGATAGGGTAAGCGGGAGGAGAGTAGCCCGCGGCCAATAAGGTAGGCGATACGATCGAGTCTCGGGTTGAAAGGCCATGGACCTTCATCGTCAACGGCCCTGCCATCTGTATTTCGTACCCATGGTGAGCAAAAAAAGTTTTTCGTACCTTATTCCTCGTAGCCTGTATTGCGGCAGGCTTCCAGAGTGTTCGGGATGGATGTCAGCGGGGCGGGGCGGCATCTCCATTCCCGCTGAGTCGGTGGGCTTGCACAAAATGGGATGAACAGGCCGAGGTGCTTGAGTAAGTATCCCGGACGCGAATGTTTCCATCCCCATGTCCATGTTCTGCGCCCATCGCGAGGGGGGAATGCGAGCGAGTTTGCGTGTGGTGTTGCGAATCGTGCGCTAACCGCGTAGGCGAGGCGTAGAACGACAGGGACTTTATTGAGCCTCTGGAGACTCAGCCTCCTTTCTCCTAAACCCCCGACGACGTTGCTGCCGATACTCTTGGCTCTTGCCTCTGTTGGTGTTTTCGCCGATAAGGCCAGCCCTAGGCAATGGAGGTGATCTGCCTAGCTTCTCAGGTAGTCGCGATGAACGTTTTACGAATACCTTCCTCGGGAAACAGCGAAGGGCAGGCAGCAAATAAGCTCCCTCTGGGCTGAGGAAGGAATAATCATTCTGCCTGGGAAGGAACGCGCCAATCTGATTTGGCGTGCACTGGCCGACTAAAGATCCTCCTGCGCCTACCTACTAAGTAAGGTAGGTAGGTTACCTGCACTGACTGCAGCTGGGCGCTTTCCCTTCCCGCCAGTCAGCCCAGCCCGAGCTTGACATGGAAGTTAGGGAGAACAGGCTCCCACCTTCCGATCTAATTCTGTCAGCATTCACGACTGCGTTTCCGGCCACTGCAATTACGGTTGCCCATCCCTACTGCATCTGGAAGAAGCACCCGGCGATGCGTTCCGTCCTTCTCACCGCAACCGACTTGGCACCCGGAGCTCTTTCCGTTGAGCTTAGGTAAGGAAATGAACGGCGCATGAATCTCACTCCCACAGACGTACGGATACCTACAGAGCCAAGCTGCCAATGTAAGCTTAATAAAAGGAAAAAATTGGCGCATCCTTTGGAGACTCGTTACATCTGGGCACAAGATCTCACCGTCTCCTGTAATGTGGCTGGTGCTGACATCCAAGGTAACCAGCCACGTGCGTCTTGAAACTGGCAGCTGAGGCTGGTGCCAGTGTCTGACATGACATGCTGTGGTATCCGTACACATGTTAGAAATGGCTGGCTAGCCGATGCTGTACATCCCCGTTTTGCGTTGTTTGGTCCATTTGATCCATTTCCCTTCACCGCAGAGACAATGACAGTCCGTCGGCTCTTTCAACGCATGTTTCGATCCAAATCGGGTTCTGGTGTCAACTTGCATTCAATGCCAAGACAACGGAGTGCGACTGAATGACGAGCTGCCAATGCTAGATAGCTTCATCACATGATATTTTGACCACCTACCTACTGCGGTACCTAGTAGGGATTCAGATGATAAACGGGGATCCAATGAGGCTCCCAGGTAGGCAGGTAGGTTTGACGTACCTTCTTTCCTCAAACCGTGTCGTCGTCGCTTTCCGTCGGGCAGGAGCCGGCCCAGTCCCTGTGAACCACCACCTTCCAGAAACGACATCCCCCGCCCCCACACAACTACGACGTCATCGCTCAGTCCTCAGAGTCCAGACCTTCAACCTTGCTGAGCTCTTCTTCAACAATAACATTGCATTAAACCTGCAACTTTCCCAGACTGCTCAACAGCATCAACAAAACCCGCATTGTCCCTAGAGACCTGACTTCATACGTTTTACCGATTCCCTACGTAACCCCTTGAACGTTACCCAACATGCCTCTCGTCGTTCCCGGCATCAACAACATCACCGACGAGTCCAAGACTCAGGAGTGGAGCAACAAGCTCGTCGGAAAGAAGCTCCATGAGGAGGAGTCCAACGAGACTGTAAGTCGCATTCAAGATGCCGCATGACCTTTACCACATCGTCAGCGTACTGACAGCGGCCCTGTTCAGACTTTCTGCAAGAGAGATCTCCCCGAGAAGTCCCGTGTCATCGAGCCCGGCATGATGGTGACCAAGGACTTCGTGCCCGACAGGCTGAACGTGCACGTCAAGGAAGACGGCACCGTCTCCCACGTCGTTCACGGCTAGATCAGCATTCACGACGTGTGACGATATCCGAGATCCGAGTCTGGGGCCTCGAAGGTGTGCGCAACGATTGGCTTACGAATAGCAAGACTTTGCATGACTGTACAGAAATTATTTTGGAATGAATACACCATTTAACTTGCCTATGAGACTTCCTTTCTGATATTTGCCTCGACGGAGCTTCAAATCCAAGTGACGTGATGCCCGTCTGCTGCGGTGCCTGCACCCCTCAATCCTCGGTAGCGCCCTACCCCTCCAAACTGCACGCCAGGTCTACCCCGCCCGCCTGACTGCGGGGCAATTTTCCTGCGATGCTCGCTCTCCAACCAACCCCACCATCAATTCACCTCAACCACGCCGGGCAAAACCACACGACGCGCCGCATCGCCCTCCTCCAGAACTACCGTGATACCCCTTTCTGTTAATCGCTGTCGTCCGTCAACACCGCCAAAATGTTCAAGAAAGAGTATGGCAGCCACCTCCCTCTCAAAAAGTCAACGTTCCCAATCAAAGGCTAACAATCGCCCTACCCTCGCAGCATTACCTCCGCCCCGAAGCAAAAGCTCAAGTCCTCCGTCCAGCGCTCCCTGCGCCAGTCGCTGCTGGGCTCCTACCCGCTCCTGAACCCCTACATTGACGAGTTGATGCCCAAGAAGGCCTCCCTCGAGCAGATGAAGCTGCCCGAGCGCTGCTCCCTCTACGTCTGCGACCAACAGCCCCTCTTCTACCAGCAGGACAACGGCACCCTCATCCCCCACCTCAAGCTCGTCCACCGCTTCCCCAAGGGATTCCCGACCATCCGCATCGACCGCGGCGCCATCCGCTTCGTGCTCTCGGGCGCCACCCTCATGGCCCCTGGCCTGACGAGCCCCGGCGGCCGGCTGCCCAAGCCGAGGGACGGCGACGAGGGCGTCGACGAGGAGGGGCACTGGAGCAGGGAGCTGGAGAAGGGCGAGCCCGTCGTCATCATGGCCGAGGGCAAGACGGAGGCGTGCGCCGTCGGGTTTCTGGTCGCGGGGACGAAGGAGGTTAAGGACAAGGGGAAGGGACCTGTGGTCGAGGAGGCGCATTTCTTGGGCGACGGCCTTTGGAGAATTGGATCGGAATAAGGGGAAGATGTTTGTTTTGATGGGCATATGAACATCACGGCCGCTTTTGGTTGAGATGGGGGACACGGGAGCATGGCACGTGAGCATTAGGGGTATCGGAAATACTTCACGAGAAAAGAACATTGCAATGGAAAAGATTTTAGCGCGCATCAATCAGTCTTCACCACAAGGTTTCTCGCTCGCCTGCAAGGTTCTCAGTACGTATTGAAATTTTCGTATTTACTTTGGCAAAGACCATACATATCTCCCAATGTTCCCGCCGTTATACATTTTCCTTCGTCCCTTGTCGTATCCTCCAGAATCTCTATTATGCGCCAACATCAATATCTTGGAACCCGAATCTAACCCGGCGTTCCCCTGTTCTCTTCGTCATGGAAGCGCAAAAACCCTCTACCAAGCGGCCCAAGGTATATCGCCGTTCAGAACCTGAGTTCGTCGAGCACATTAACATGGCCGAAGGAATCCTCAACATGATTGAGAAAGACACCGCGCTCGGTCTCGATCTCACGGTGCCAAAGAGGTTTATCCGCCACTTTTTGCATCCGAAACACAACGACGAGACGCGTCAGAAACGAAACCAGGAGATAAGTGCTTTGCTGGAGAGATTCGAGTGCGAGGATGCAGAGAACGAGGCCTCGTGTGAGTGTCAAGTCCATTTGGATGAGACTCTCACCCTCCGGAAGCTCGACAACAACATGGAGCCTCAGCCGTGGTTCCACCACTACGACCCGACCTTGGCCGAACGCGATCCGCTCCCTAGTCCATTCACCGACCAGACCGGCCGACGGCTGCCTTTATTGGCGGAGATCCAGAGCAATCTTCAACAGCTTTGGATCGACGAGCCTGACATGAGTCTCGACCGTTTTCAAGTCACACCGCACCTCTGGGCTGTCTGCCAGCTCGCCTCTATCGACCAGCTTGAGGCGCTGCTCGGGGACTTGTGTAGTGGAAAGATCACCTGGAAGGACATGCACAAGCGTGCCACGATGTTCCTTGACGACTCCCCCGACAGTCTGTTCGCGTGCAAGGTGCTGGACTTGCAGACATATGACATGTCTGCTCTAAAGGAGGTCTCGGAACATGTAATGTCCCGCGAAGCGATCTGGGGTTCTCAAGCGGTCGAGAAGTACAGAGAAATGCTCTGTAACATCGGTCCCGAAGGTGCGGGCAATATGGTGCTGAGGCTCTGTCCGCGGCACAGATGGGACAACGCGCAGTATGCGTTTGAGCCTCTTGAGCAAACCGCAGACTCTCTTCGCGTGCGGTTCCGGTTCCTGCCTGACACGAGACAGAAGCTGGGCAAGGAGAGTGCGCATGCGTTGGTATGGGACGGGAACTTGGCCAGGGATCCCGAGGAGTTTCTGCGACACTACCCACTCGAGAGGGATTACGACCACAATATCTGTCTTGTCACGATCGGCAGAAGCGGGACCCATGAACTCAGAGATGGTCAGATTATCGAGATCAGATCGAAGATCCAGGGCCGGCGTCCAGAGTTTCTGTTGTGGGAGATGAGATACAAGGCCCGGCTGATGGTCACCATGATCTCTGCTGCCCAGCCTGGAGCCCTCGAGGCCCACGATGCAGTCTATGATTATGAAGATCGTGAGACTATGAGCTGCACGCCAGGCTGATGTCCCGGGGAATCTGATGCACACATCGAATCGAGGACCTGACTGGACTACAAGGACAGACGACGACGACGGCGACGACGACAATAGCGATAATGATAGCTATATAGAGCAGGCCTGAGAACCTGACGGACACCGGCCCCACTTTCGGAACGACCTTCGAAGAACCAGGCACCGGGCTAGATAGCATAGCATATATTTCACAAAAGACCCATGAGCTTTATCAGCTTTTCATTTCTACCCTGCATTCCCTGTAACTGAATCACCATCACATCCGTCGGCCCCCAGCATAAGACCCAGGCCGGGGCGACAAACAGCGTTGATCATGACTACAGACCCATGTAAAGTTGTTGGAACTGTACCTCGCTAATGCACTGTTCCCGGGGGCTGATGAGATGTTTGAGTCTTTTGAGCCATCGTCCCCGTTGGGGTGCAGGGTTGCGACCAATCAAACCCCCAACTGCACCCCTCGGCGGCGCTTAATCTCGATCTAAACAACCGCCAACAACCTCCAACACAAGGTTGGATTGCAGTTTGCTCATGGAGCCATTGCCATTTAGAGAGACGGAATACCACCTCGGCCTTAGATGTTGCCGGGGCTGGTAAAGTTGAAAAGGCAAAAGCCTGCTCCCCATCGAAATGTGACGTTGATTCGAGAATACTGCATGCTCTCTGCGTGACAGCTTTGTTGAAGATGGCCTCTGCAGGGGGTCTTCGCTCGGCACAGTCGCCCGACGATGTTCGGCCAGAACACAGAATCGCTCGGAAGCCGGTCCCAGACAGGAGCTCTACTCATTACAGCGCCCTGACTCCGGAAACTTCTCCATCATCACCGAATACCAGCAAGTGTGCAGGAAGAGTAAACGTGACGGAGCAGAATCACACGAAATGGCGACCCCAGTGGCTCCGGCCACATTCCCTCGCATCGTTCGCCGGACTTTTCTTGTGCATTTCGGTTGCCCTCCCAGCAATGCTGTGGTACTCTCAACAACACGATGGCATAGCAAAGACTCGACAGGATTACGGTTACGTGTGGCGGTTCGGCCCAACAGCTGGTAAGTCTCGAATGTCGCATGGGAAAGAGATCAGAGACCAACCCATTCTTCAGTTCTCACGATAGTCGCTGCCTTCTGGGCACGGGTCGAGTTACAAGCCATGAGATACATGCCTTGGATCGCCCTCCGACGCGGCCGGTCTCCCGACTACGACCTGGACTACACATCCATGCTAATGCCCACCGTTCTCTACGCATCCCTCCGCCGGAAACACTGGCTAGTCCTACTGATCTCAGTGGTCTCCCTGCTGATCAGGGCCGAGATCGTGCTCGCCCCTGGTCTGTTCCAGCTTACACCTGTCCAGCGCGCAGAGCCCGCAAGCATCGCAATGGCAGACTCCTTCAGCCTCAACTGGGACACCGACACGGGGCGCGAAGCAATCATCGCTTATTATGCCGCCCGTGCTGTACACGACTTCAACATGACTTATCCTTTCGGCGTCACCCAGGAGGCTGCCTACCAGACATTCGCACTGGCGGATACGGGCAGAAGAGGTACCGCCAGCGCGCCTGTCAAGGCCGAGGTTGACGCCTTCTTCACGAGTATGGAGTGTCTGAAGGCGAAAAGATGGTCAGCTTCGGAGGCAAAAAAGTCCATCAGCAGGTTCTACTCGGTCGACATTTCTCTGCAGTTCGAGGGCTGTCAGCAAAACGTCTCATTCACCCAAGAAACGGTCCAGATGCCAGACACGTCGATAATGACGGAGAAAATCTATGACTCCTGGCAGCTGAGCAAAAACCTATCACCCAATTCCCGCCCATGCGCCAACCTTCCGCAACAGTATTATCAATTCGTCTATTTCGCGGGACAATATGTGAAGGGCGCATCTGTCAATTCGTCCCGGCCCGTGGAGCTTGTAAAGGCAGATGCTATTCTGTGTTCCCCCACCGCTTGGATATCCAAAGTCGAAGTTACCGATGACGGAATCAGCCCGAACCTCACGGCCTTACCGAACCAGGAAAAGCGCCCAATCGAAGCTGACATTTGGGGCATCTTGGGAAAGGCTATCCCGACGACTCCTGGAGGTTGGGATTTCAGCCCTCAGATTGGCGCCTCCCAGCTGAACTACGGCCCCGTCAGAGGGGAGCTCTCGTTCAGCGAAGAGCGAGCCAACTTTTCGGACACAACCGAACTGCTGTACAATTGTACCATCAACTTGACTAGGAGGCTGGGGCCCCTTGTCGGGCACTACCTGTTTCGACAAAATAACGCCGACAAGTCTGAAGCGGTCGCGGATATGTTTGTTGTTATCGATAGACTGGCGCTCAACCCGCAAGTCTGCTGGGCTATATTTGCTCTTTCCGCTCTGATAGCCGCCATCATCGGCCTCTCTCTATTTCGATCCCGGCGGTATACCACGATATGGCACCGTGATCCGGCTACCGTCTTGGGACATCTCCTCTTCCTCAGCGACCATCCCGAGCTGCGAGAAACGCAGCCGGATGAAAGCGATGATAAAAGCTGGAGCCATGGCACCTTCACCCCGATTGTGTTGAGACCCTGGGCACAGATTGCATTCGCGGTTTTCGTCTGCGGTCTTCTCATTGGCCTAGGTTCGACGTTGCAGCAGTCAGAGGCGCATCATGGGCTAGCAACAGTCGACGAGAGAGAATACTGGTATCTGTTGTGGACTTCCTTCCCATCGATGATCATGCTAGGCGTCTCGTTGTACATCAGCTCGTGCGACTTTGTTTTGAGGGGCTTGTCTACCCTTCACAATCTGTCTACCCGGCCGTGTGACTCCCGGTTACTGGACTTCTCCATGCTGGACATGCTCGGGCTCCGCGCGCTTTGGAAATCATCGCAGCAAAGGCTTTGGACGATTACCATGTCCCAGCTCACGGTAGTCTTTTGCGGCTTCCTAGCGACACTTGCTACCGTTCTCTTCTCAATCGAAACAGTAATCAGCCCCGTGAAAGTGCAGTTGCAACAGCAAAGTTGGTTCGGTGATACTTTTATCGACAACAACACAGATTCACCCGCACAGAACCGCGAGAATATCCGGAGCCTGTTGGCACGTCGCGGAGAAGCTAACTTCACTTACCCGAGAAACACGTATGCCGACATGGCATTTCCTATGCTTGATACGTCACAGCTGCCCGTCGCAAACAGCACAAGACAGGTGACGATACAGTTCAAAGTGCCCGCCGCGAAGCTGGTCTCAAGCTGCCAGCGGTTGCCCGAGGCCCGGTTCAACGTCACGGTGATGAACTACACGGAACAAATCTCGCAAAACACATCCGAGACGGTGTACCAGGGCCCGATGCTCATAAAGGAGAAATGCCCTACCGGCTACACGGACAACCTGGGCCACCTGTTCATCTTCGGCCGCAACCAAACAGGCGCGCACAGCGGCAAGTCTAGCTTTGCCGACATCCTGGCATCTCCTGGCAATCTTTACGACATGAACCAGCCCTGCCAACTGAACATTACAGATGCCAATTATCTTCTTCGTCCTACTATGCAGCAGACATATGTTTGGGGCCAGTGGAACTACGACAAGTACGACTTTGACCTGCTGCGGTTTTGGAGGTGCGACTATTCTTGGGCGCAGGTTATGACCGACGTAACCATGGTCAAAGGATCGGACAGCGAGTTCGCCATCGACCAGACCAGACCGCCTGTCCCGGACCTATCTACTACGAAGAGATTGGATCACCCATTCGTCGTACCTGTAAGAGACTACCAGGAGCTGTTCATGGTTGTGGGGGCTAGTACCGGCCTTGATGGCAACGTGGCGCCTGAGATTATTGTCACCGGCCCCTCAGCCGGCGACATCAACCCCTTCTTCCGGCCTCTGATACAGCCGTACGGAAAGCTGCCGCTCGAGGCGTTTGGCGACCCGGAGTGGGAAAACGCGGTTCTGGAGGAGCTGCATACGAATTTGGGATTCGCAAGCGCGCAGCTGGCGAATCTGGAAAACCGGCTGGGCGTAGGGCAGGATTCCAGGACCACACCGTTCCCGGCCGAGGGCCTGCCGGCTGTGGAGGCTCTTGTGACTGACGGGGGCCAGCGGAGGCTGATGCAGAGTGCGACGGTCACGTATGTCATTATCGGGATACTTGGGCTAGTCGCTTTGGGCATCTTTTGGACGCTGTTCTCGAGGGTGATGAGGATGTATGGGGCCAAGAGAGATTGGTTTGCGATGGATGTGAAAGGGCTTGCCCCGGATGGCTTTGGGAGCATTGGTGCGATGACGAGTTTGTTGCGTGAGTCAAATGCGATGGATCATATGCCATCGCAGTCGGAAAGAGTCTCGACTGCTGATCTTCATGAGATGCTGAAGGGTTTGTGGTTTCGGCTGGGATGGTTCAGTAGGGAAGCGGATCAGGGGAGGCACTTCACTGTCGGGGTGTTGGAGGATAAGAAGTTTTCTTGGGCTGAGAGCAAGATGGAGGCGGAGATGGGAGAAATATCTATGTATGAGCGAGTGGTCAATACTTCTGAGGAGACGGCGTATAGAGAGGCTTATCTGACGTGTGGATAGACCACAGGATGGAGAATGGGTTTGAGGGCACCGTCCCTTGCCGGAATCTTCTGACTACCTACTGGAATAAGATAATCACCCGCGCCTAATGCTTGCGACTCAGTTCAGGTATCCAAGCGAGTGTCTTGGACGCACAATACCAGGGATTTGTTTTAACCAGTGACTTGTCGAGCTGTGAATTGTCTCAGACACTTCCGTTCTAGCGTTCAGAATTTGAAACCTGTGACGATTTTATGTTCGTTTACGAACATATAAACTTTTCAGTGCGAGGGCTTTTAGAATTTGCAACATTTTCAATTCCAACAAATGCCTCGTATGACGGTGATCCACCAAAATGCGACTGTTATCCACGACGGACCTTCAATTGCGTTGCGTTTCTCACAATGCCATATATCCTTACACAATCCTCTCCCATACTTGGGGCGATGAGGAAGTCACACATCAAGAGATGTCATACCCTACTGATGAGGTCCGCAGCCGAGCAGGATTCAGGAAAATCCTCAGATGTGCAGAGATCAGTCGCGAGATGGGATACGATTATACGTGGGTCGATACATGTTGCATCGATAAAAGCAGCAGTGCTGAGCTTTCCGAGGCAATCAATTCAATGTTTGCCTGGTACCGCGATTCTGGGATCTGCCTGGCTCACTTGGAGGACTTTTATGGAGACCACATCAGTCAAGCAACCGCGGAAAATCGATGGTTCACCAGAGGGTGGACTCTGCAGGAGCTGATAGCTCCGAAAAACGTCTGTTTCTACTCGGCTTCCTGGAGTGAAATTGGTCGTAAGCCCAACAACATCTTGGATCTATTGCGCATCACCAAGATTGACGCGGCAGTGCTTGATATGGGAGAGCTCGACAACATTTCCGTTGCTGAAAAGATGAGATGGTTGGCACGTCGCAACACAACAAAGCCAGAAGACATGGCGTACTGCATGTTAGGAATCTTCAACGTCAATATGCCCCTCATATATGGAGAGGGTGAGAAGGCGTTCAAAAGGTTACAAGAGGAAATCATGAGAAGCTCCGACGACGTTTCTATACTTCTATGGAAAGCACAAGAAAACAATTCATTCACTTACAGAGGGGCTCTTGCACGCAAAGCAATCGAATTCGCGCAGTCAACAGCACCAAGCACGCCATTGTATCTTCTAGACGAGCCCTTTTCATTGGCAAACAAGGGACTGCGGATCACAGCAAAACTGTCCAAGTTGAACGACGTCCTGGCATCACCCAACAGCTTAATACCGGATCCCAAGCATATCGTAAATGACGTCTACAGAGACTCCTTATTTTGCCTGTCCTTCTGTCAAAAGAAGTCGCAAACTATCCTTCCAGTCTCTACGGCGAACACGATTATCCTGCGGAAACTGAAAAGCAAGCAAAATCACTACGCTCGCGCATACCCTGGCTCTTTATTCACGTTGTTCCCGAACGGTGCCCTAAAACAAGCGCGAAAAGATGTACAGGAAGAAACCTTCCTAATAATGGACAGGCTTCCGCTATCCGACTACAATACGGTCTTGGCCTGTAAACGGTTCGCAGTCACTGTGCGTAAGGGTCTCACGTTTCTGAACGGTAATTATCCTATCCAAAAGTTGCGCGTCTTTGAACCAGACGAGATTGCCTCTCCTTCACATTCTGTCAAAGATGCCCATTTATTGGAGGCTGTGTATGGCGCGAGCTGCTTCCCATCGCTCAGCACTGCAAACCAGCCTAAATACCTCGTGTTGAGGTATGACGAGCGCTCCAGCATACTTCACAGCCATTTCTTCGATAGCCAATCCCTCGAAGCTGTTCGGGCAAGAGATGATGTTTCGGCCGATGGATTTATGACTCTTCTAGAAGATGCGGAAACGAAAGTAGCAGGGTATTATGTTGGAGGTGCCAGCCTTCAATTACCTGATCAGGCAGATGGTCGCTTCCGATTGGGCGGAAGAGATATTCACTTCGTCATCCACAGAAGACAAACCGATGAAGGTGTAGTATTACAATTGGAAGTTTCCATGTATGAGGATTCAAGTTGAGCATGGATGCAAGTGGCAAGGTTTAAGCATCTAGTCGTTAAATCGCCGGGTCTCAACTTTTGAAGTCAAATTGACAGTACTACGGGCAGCGAGAAACGAATCAAAATCATTGGAAGTTAAGGTGCAACCTACTTCCTGATGCTCAACTTCAAATCCCGAAGAATTTGACATTGTTTGCAGAGTCTTCAAAATCTCGAAACTCCCGACATGAGCAGCATGAGGACGTATTAGAAAATCGAACGATTTTCAGACTAGTCACTGAACATAATAACTATTCCATGTGAGTTTTGCTATCCGAACAGTATCACCTATGACCCGTAGTAATAGAGAGAACAATAGAAGTACAATAAGGATTACGACGATAGACGACGACGACGACGACGAAAGCGAGCACAGAAATACAGTCGCTTTAAAACAGGCTACGGATTACACGCGTGTGTGTACACTGCCCGGATAGCCAAATGACACCGCCCGGCTAGCAAAACTCTTTCATATTCGGTCACTGATTTCTATAGGTAGCTAGAGTCGTCCTCGGAATTCCTTCACCTGTTTGTAGTTAATCTCGAAACTGCATGTGGGATCGTAGTGCATTGCCCAATATCCATCCCAGATCTTCTTTGTAATTGATCCAACCTGCCCACTGTTTAGTGGCTTCCCATCGAGGCTTGTTATCGGCATGATTCCGCCCGCCGTAGTGCACATCAATATCTCGTCAGCCTGATATGCCATCTCAACCGGAACGACCTCAACACGGACGGGGATGTTGTTGGCTCGCGCGACATCGATGACGCTTCTACGCGTGACGCCTTCAAGAACACCGCGGTCGGGGGTATACATCGTCCCGTCTTTGACCAAGATTATGTTGAAGCCTGATCCCTCAGTCAAGTTACCATCTCCATCAGTTAGAAATGGGTAGGTGGCACCTCGGTCAGACGCCTCGAGCATGCCCCTGGTGAAATCTCCCCATTGCAAGTTCTTCACACGCGGGTCTATAGCTCCTGGAGGCACCCTGCGGACCGTCCGCGCGACGATGGCGTTGCCACCATGAGGTTGAATTGAAGGCGGCATGACCCAGATGAATGGAAGAACCAGCATGTAGAGCCTGTTATCCTTGGCAACTTCTTCAGCGCCTGCGAACATGATGCTCTGGAGACCGCGAGTGACGATGAGTTCGACAAAAGCGTCTTTAATACCAGTTTTGACCACCATCTCAATGAGAGTCTTCTTGATCTGCTCACGAGAGAGCGGCAGCTTCAATCTCAGCTTGCTGCAGCTGGCGTCGAGTCGATCAAGGTGGTCCTCGAGACGAAAGAAGCGACCATCCCAAACCGAGGGCACATCGTAGGTGAGATCGCTCCTCAGAAAGCCCTGATCTTGCAGAGGGATGCGGGCCTCAGCGACTGGAACCAGATTTCCTTCCACCCAGGCGATGCCTCTGGCATAAGGGCTGGTGCTCTGCGCGAGCACGGCCTGCCGTTGGTGGTAGCCGGCGAATACCTTTCCCATGGAAGTCATTTTGAAATTGTGCCGAGATCTGGGGCAGATAAATATGATGACCTGATGCTTATGGTTGGCGTTGAGGATGACGAACTAGAAGGCTGATGGCGAAACCCCGAGTGCTCCGGACATGTCGTTGGAATTAACGTTGGGTTTCTCATCAACTAATTATCCCAACGGATTGGAGATTGCGACCTTACGTCAATAGATAAGAAAGTGTAGGGAGGGAGAGTCACTACATTGGATGATTTCGTTGCCATGCAAGCATGTGCTCTGCGGGCACGGAACCCGAGGTCCGCACCTCCATGAACCCCGTAGTTTAACCTAAAGCTGCGACTCCGAAAAATATCGATTTGCATCTACTTGGTTTCCAATATGTAGCAAGAAAGGTGGCGGAGGGAAACGTTGACCGTGTAAGCGAGACTGCTGACAATCATGTGGGAGAGATCCTGTCATTTGCCGCATCGGGACCGCTGGTCATGGAGCTTGCGGATTTACGGACTACTCATTATTAAGCAGGCCCTCATTCAAGCCAGGGGAAAAATCCTCCCGAATCGAAAATTTGATTCTGCCATTATTCTATGCTTATGCTTCATAGATCAATCTAGCTTGAGTCGATTTCCGGACACTGGGTATTGAGAAGTGCACGTGGACATAGCGGAGTTAAGAGGCAGTCGGGGTGATCGCGGACAATCAACATGACCGGGCGCAAACCGTGCCTGGAAGCAAAAGAACTTTTCGTGATATCAAATTGAGTAGACATCAAAAGTATGAAGTATAAGAAGAACCCAATTATCGTGAATTGAGAGATACCAGAAGGGGCTACTAACATCAACGGGTTGCTCATCTCAATTTCAAGTCAAAATGAGGTCGGCAACTTACCTCTCGCTCCTACTTACTGCATGGACGGCGGCAGCAGCACCGAAAGCCAGTCAGGGCTTTTCCAAAACTTCTGTAAACACAAGCTCTGGTGTCTTCGCTCCGTACTTCTCTATTTCGCAGCCCGACGTTGCTTCTTTTCTTGATATTCCCTACGCCGAAAGCCCAGTTGGAAATCTCCGATTCGCACCACCTCTCGCGAAGAGATACCCGGGCGACAAGGTTATCAGAGCGACAAATCTTCCAGCTGGCTGCTTTCAGTATGTTGCGCCTTACCTCCGCGGTACTGTGACGGATGGCCCAGTCACTGCTGCAGCATTCCAGCGAAACGACTTCTCGAATACCACCGAAGACTGCTTACGACTATCAATTTTCGCTCCGGCAAAGACCACCAAGAACAACTCTTCCTCTAAACCTCTAGCCAAAGGGAAGTCTTTGCCGGTGCTTATCTGGGTCCACGGCGGCGGGTACAGCTTCGGCGGCATCAACGTTCCCTTCCAGCTTGCGCCGAAATGGGTTCAGCGAAGTCAGAAGCATATCGTCGTTCAGGTCCAATACCGCCTCAACCTCCTAGGTCTCCCAAATGCGGCAGGGCTAGTTGAGACTGATAAGAACTTTGACCTGCCTTTCCTTGACCAACGCGTTGCAATTGAATGGGTTCGCGACAACATTGCCAACTTTGGCGGTGACCCCAATCGCATCACGCTATGGGGTGAGAGCGCGGGAGCGTACTCGGTAGATGGATATTTGTTCGCTTGGCCTCATGATCCGATCGTTAAAGGAGTCATCGCGGACTCTGGGAACGCGGTGGCTATCCCGAGCGTCTTGTCCGACCCGAACAACCACACGACTTTCTCATTTGTTGCGGACAGGCTTGGGTGCGGCAATTTGTCAGCTGCGGCGGAGCTCAAGTGTATGCGCCAGGTTTCTGCATCCAAGATCAAGACGTACCTTCAGGCAGGTATTGGAGAAGGTGGCGCCGCCGATGATGCTGTCGCATTTGGAGCGTTCGCCGATAACATGACCATCTTCAGCAACTACACTGAGAGAATCGGCAAAGACGGCGTCAAGTTTCCAACCCAGATACCGCTTCTAATCGGGACAAACACAAATGAAGGAGCTGTAGTGGTCCCTTACAACTTCACAGGCACCGATGCAGCAACCGAATTGCCAAGCGACCTCGCCAAAATCGCGCAGGGCTTCTCGCTCAATCTACAATGCACCACTCTGGAGGAAGTACGGCTTAGGTCCGAAGCTGGAGCGACGACGTATCAATACCTCTACGACGGCAACTTCACCAACATATCGCCACTGCCGTGGTTGGGCGCCTACCACACAGCTGAGCTTCCCCTGATTTTCGGCACTCACGACATTGACAGACCGTCAACGGACTTTGAAAAGAGGGTGAGCGAGCGGATGCAAGACCTGTATCTTCAATTCGCCATCGACCCTGAGAATGGACTGAGAAGTGCTGGTTGGCCAGCAGCAACTGCGCAACTGAATCAGTCGCGGTTGATTGAGTGGGCTGCTGGGAACAAGGTCGAGCAGGTAATTACAGCCGAGGCCCTGCGTGAAGAATGTGTACGGAATGGCTTTGCCGTTTGAGTTCAGACGCTAGATTAAGTGGGGGTTATCCTTCACCTATGTGATGATTTTACCATATCCTTAAGAAACTCCGAAAAAGACAAAAGCGAATCAAGCTTTCCTTAACCCACCAAGCTACTTCATATCCCTTACCTGATAATACCTCGCCACAGTCGAAGCCTCGGTGACACGTCTCGACTGATTAGCATGCGGCTGTCAGGAAGAAAAGAACCTAGAAGAATGATGGATCAACCATGATCGCCTCACAGCCAACCGTTCGCTCTGAAACTGCACCACTCCCGAGGGATCCGCAACTTTCCAGACGGCAACTGACGGAACGAGTGAGAGTTGTGAACCGATAGCCGTGACTGGAGACTTACCTCTTGCGTTGATGGTGTCCCAGAGAATTGCCCTTTCATGTCAAAAGTATCATCTGAGATCCCGGCCATTCGGATTTTGGAACAAACAACTCTAGTCTACGATGATCCGCGGCGAAAACTGCCCCCCTCACACGATTGCAGATGGCAAATGTGCTGGCATGAACACAAAATGGGTATGTGATGAAGATGACGCCGGAAAGGCTGCAACAGTTAGGCTGTGGGACTGAGCACACAACCGCGCGTTCTTATCGGGTACCACGGGAACTATTAGGACAGCTGAACTACGTCCGGTCTTTTGCATATGCCAGCCCAAACAGCCTCGAATCCAGTTCGCCTTGCCACCTCCTGTCTGTCGTCTTAACTTCCTTGGCATTGATATGCGGGTGTCTGTGGGTATCAAGCACGTTATCTGTGAGTTGACCAGTCCGCATTCAGGACTGGGCGTTTCTTATGACTAAGCTCCGGAACCTCATTGAAATCCGCAATTGAGTTCCGAGATGGTTGGATTATTAGTATGTTGCTTGAATTCCCTTGGATTTGGCCTGCGTTTGCTGAAGTGACTGCCGAAAGACGCGGAAATGCCGACAGGTGGTATGCCCCGTTGCGGGTTCTGTCCGAGTCAAAGCACGCTGGGGATTCCTCAATGCTACGCCGTAGTGAGGCTGACATATGCATGAAGACCTCTAGTCTCTTTTTTCGGACAACTGCCGCATTTGGAGAGATTTCACTACAAAAGGACTTGGCGGTAAGCCCGATGATTCGGAATGCAGAGAGGGGAAAGGAGGGTAAAAATCTGTAAGGGGGGAGAAGATGCGCAGCATGAAGTAATTCCGGCAGTAGCACCAGAATGCCCCGAAGCGGAAGCTAAGACCCACCGGCAGATTCGGCAGACGCCGAGATGTCGTTAGAAATAGAAATAAACAGTGGCGGACAGGGGGACAATTGAAATCATGGGGGAGAGAATGTGGATTTGGAGAAGCCGGGGCATCCATGACATCATCCTCGCCCGACCTTACTGGAGGCGAACCGCCCCCATGCCGCTATCTTTCTGGAGAAAAGATGGTGGGCTGATTGTGAATTATCAGATCTATGACTTGGTCTTACGCCAAAGCACCTTAATCTGACTTCGCTTCCGTCCAAGTGACTGATTTGTCCTTCTGCTCAATGGACTGAGGTCATTGTTCGGCTACGTACGCCTCGAGTCTGCCTTGAATTCGCCCTGGACAAGAGCCTAACCAGCTCTTGTCTGCCGTCCCTCCCGTGTTTTCCCACCCCTGTCTCACGCGACCTTGCACTCTTTTCTCGGCAGAATCACTGTCACCAAGCCAGCTCAATGGCGACAAGTGCCGTCAGCCCCTAGATCGACTTCACATGGTAATCCAAGAGACGACATCCCACTGACCGGCCCCAATCCTCAACTGGGAAGTTTGTGGTTCTCCGTACTTTAAATCTAGAGGCGCGTGATGGCGAAGTAGATGGCATGCTTGAGCATGGGGCACATATCCGCCAAGACCCTCCCTGTCTCAAGGTCTGCCCTGTGAGCGGAACCTCTATCAAGATCGCATCCACCCCAGTCATTCTCTAAGCTATGTTATTTCTGCCCATCCAAGTGGGAAACACGCCCGAACGACGTTTCAGCCGCCGGGCAAACATGTGCCTGTAAGCCTGGTGGGTGGGTAGCCAGCCGGCTTCATCGACGGGGATGGCTGGACGACGTGGCATTCCGTCAGCGGTTGACAAGACGCGGTACCGCAGCTTGTCCCCCCTCCACACCCATTTCTTGTAGGTTAGGGTTATCAAACAGCTAGATCTTTACAAGGGGGAGGAGAGCCGTAGGCTGTTGGCAGCATACGGTTCCCTTGGCGTACGCACTTATTTGAAGAACGAAAACCCACTTTCCTCTTGCCAAGTTTTATCGATTGATTATCTAGCTTGAAGAACTACACAAATGTCACTGAATATGAAGCGCAGAAATTGGAGTCCTCGAGGTACTCGCCGTCGTGGTCTAACTGGCTTCTTGGCGCGGTTTGCCTTTCGTTTCATGGCCATCGCGGCCCTTTTCACCACCTATCATTGTCTCGATCTTCATGTTCGCTATCGAGACTCTGTGCGCGCCAAGTACTCAGCCACGCAGTTCACCATCCTTTCGGACTACGATGAGGCAACACTCAGTAGTTCAGGGTGGGAGGCTGAGTCTCACTCATCCAACCCTGAGCGCATGGCCCTGCTCGAGAACAGGCCGCAATGGAAGAGGCTAGGAGGTGGCCGGGAGGGAGAAGCTTTCATCTACAACGGTTCTGTCATCAAAGTCTACAATGAGGCGAGCAGTCCTTTCCGTAACTGCATGTCAGACACGGACGATGGATTGAGGAGATGGCCGACGGAGATCCCAGTCAGTCTCATCATGGGAGGCCATGAGGACATCACAACACCACCAAATGACGATATGTATAGGGACTTGTTTGTTCCGGTGAAGGACTACTTTCTCGCCACTACGAACCCTTCGCAACCACCCAAATGGCATCTCGTCACACCATTCCTCAAGGCCGGCACCCTCGCTAAGCTGGCAAAGAAACTACGCACCTCGGAGAGGCCGCTGAAATATCGTGAGGTCGACATGATGTTCCGTCCATCATTCGAGTCTCTCCTATCCGCCTTGGATTACCTTCACCAAGCTCACAACCTCTGCCACGACGACATCAAGATGGACAACATCTTCGTGGCATCCGAGGTTGACCCTAGGCGGTGGAAGATCGGGGACCTTGGCAATGCTCGTGAGCCTGAGCACCCGTACCACTTCACACCACTGTGGGTTGCCGACACCCCGCAGCTACGCGACTGTCGTGCCAATGACGCACTGCGCTTGACGAAGTCGTACATTGAGTTCGTGCGCATCGCCAGCGGGAATCCGGAGGAGTTTGACGTGGCTTTCTTCCAAGGAGTTGAGCCGGCAAGCAGGTTCTACTGGACCGTCGCTGGCGCGGCATCTCCTGCCTCCGCTGCAGATATTCGAGAGCTGTCAAGAGGCTTCCCTCCTTTGATGGATGAGGATGAAATGGTGTGGGCGTCAATGGAACGTGTCGAAGCCAAGAGCGGTTTCAATGCTGTCACCACAGCTCTGCTGGGCTGGAATGTCTCTCTCGGGAGAGCTGTCATGGGTGAATTGAGAGTTGGAGCGAAGGAGTTGATGGGTCAGATCTTCGGACTCACTGGAATATTAGGCGTTCCAGTCACAGAATGTCACATTGGTTGAGAGGCTGCTGGTCCGGTTTGCTTTCTAAAATCTTTTGGCGTTGGAAAACTGGAGATCAAGCAAGGTCGGCGTTGGTACAGGCCAGGCAAATTCTTCGACAACTGTTACATGATAGATACCCCGGCGTAGGGCAACATTCGGGATGGCTGGGAGACAAAATGAAAGCGGAAAAGGTCTTCACGGGTTTTAAGGTATACGGCGTCTTCTTCATTAAAACAAATAAATGGTGTTTAGGACATTGTGCCATGGCTGCAGAAGACATAAGCTTCGATGTTTTGCTTCCTTGAGTCGTCTTCAGCGTCCAAAGGTCGCAAACCTTTTAGTTTGGTGATCCGTTCGACGGCGCAAACTAAAATAAGTCTCGCAGAGATAGTTGCAGCATCGCCGTAGTTTCCAAGTCGTTGGCAATTTGCTGTCTCAGCTGAAGACCTTAATTTTGAGGGATACGGGAACTCAGCCATGATGCGCCGACCCATTCTAAATTCGTAATTGAAACTAGGCACCATCTTTTGCTGTTGTTCTCGGTTAAGCCCCCAAGAGGGGGCTTGCACTGCGCCGAAGGAGCTCCGCCTCCAGCGCTTGTCTTAAGCGACCTTGGCAACTTCTTCAGCCCAAGAACCTGCGCTTAATGGATCATCATCTCTTTTAGCCTCAATGATTATCGTGACCTGAAAGTCGAGTATCTTTTGATGTTGAGATTCATGATGAGGCTGAAATTATTTACCTGTCCCTGAGCCGAAGCTGATGTTTTCATTTTCCCCAGCCCCTCAATAGAGTACAATTGACACTCACTTCGATCATGAACAAATAATAAAGATTGATTGAAGGCATCCTGTGTTTCCCTGAAGCCCGCGATAGAAAATGCATCCTCCAAAAACGAGTGTCCTAATGCGAGGTTGCGATCTTCCGACCATACATCGCAATTTGTTTTCAAAGGTCCAAACGCGGTCTGAGAAAGCCATGGTAGTTCGGATATTTTGCCGGCCTGAATCTTGGCAAGCTATGATCTAGGCAGCCTTTATTGTCTCCAGTCTAGGCATTCATTGGTCCCCTCGGAAAACTGTGCATACTTACCAGAGAACGCTACCCTGGCGGGCCGCTGACCTTAACATAGATGTGCCTGCATACACTGCCCTACGACCCCCCTCGGACTCTGCTTACTGCGGCCCGCTACCGAGGCCACAGCCAAAGATGCGCAGCTATGCTTGTCAAAATACTGTTCTACATGTATTTCGCTTCGAAATAGCTTCGTCCGCATAGTCTCTGCTGAGTGCGAAGCTGAAGCCAAGTTTCTTAGTCTCTATCAGAGTCTGAGTGCCTAGAATCCTAAGAATAGCCTCCAGCCTGGATGCTGGAGAGGAATCCTGAAATATAAAAATCTAGAGATC